ATCCATCTTTTCAGTATTGGGAACCTAAAATTCGTTTTTTTTTTGTTCCGAAAATTACTGTTTTTCTCTGCAGTATTACATAACTTTCTATATACTGTATGAACGTATAAACATACAGAGGAATGGGAGATCAGACCAACTCGAGATATAAATGTATCGAAAATGTTATTATCTTTACAGTTTCCAAATGTAAATATTTTGCTTTCAAATTGAAAGGGAAGTAGCGCTTCCAACCTATCTTTTGACGTTGCGCCCATGCTGTTTCTATGACATAACTGTAAATTTAATTTTTTACTTTCTCGCCTTACTAAGCTATTAATAAAGATAAAACATTGTAGTCGTGCGGCGAAAATGACGATTTTTCGACAAAATCTGTTATTGTCGGATCTTGGAAACGAAAAATTGGATAAATCTTGTTCCTGTATGTATGACTTCCTCTTTTTAGTTGAAATTCCTTATTTTTCGAAAAGCACAAAAGTTCAGTTTTTTTCTGCGGCTTCCTACAACTACAATATTGTTGATAGAGATTTTTGTCCCAAATGAAATCTGTTGTCCAAAGACAGACCATGAAATAAAGCCGTTAACCATTTTTCCAAAGAGTAAGATCTACAAAGAAGATCATGAACAATTTTTTAAAGTGAGTAATTTTCGCGTAATTTCTACCTGAAATTAATACAAGTTATAAAACGAATCTTACAAGCGGCTCCAAATTTTTTCTTTAATTATTCCACGGATAGAGCACAGAACACTTAAAAAAACGCAGGTTCCATTTTCGTTTTTCTAAATTTTAGCTAATTAGATAAGTTAGAAATAATGCGTGAACGCATGTGCTGTTGGAGAACCACTACTTTTCGTTTTGTATCGGATGAATGCAGGAATAGGGAGTAAATTTGTGTAACTTTATCCAGGATAACACTTACAGGGTTTTTATTCCTTGGTTTCTTATAAATTGTCAAAAATTGTAATCTATGGTTAGCGTAATCTATCCTTTCTGTAAAACATCGATATTGTTAATATAGTTTGATCAAAGTCTACGTTTTTAACATCGATGTTTCACCGACTTTTTTAACGTTTACGTTGTTTTGTGTGTAAATGAAAAACTTTATCACAATTTTATAAAAGTCAAAATATGAAATAATAGCTGATTACACCAATGTGAGTTCTTGCGTAAACTAAGCGAACGCAAATACCTTTATCGAGCAGATTCTCTCTCCTCCGAGGGATGACCCTGATACCGTGGTACTTTCTATGCCTTTCCTCGTATTTCGCATGTCGAGATATGGAGAACATGCAGTAGGCGTAGCGCCTCCCTACTTCTTCCCGCACCCTTCTACCCTCAAGTGGGGAAACCCCGCGAATTGTGACCATTTCCGAGAAAAGTGGTTTCTTACTATGTTTTGTGTGTCCGGTTTTTGCTTCCCCTTACCCAATACACACACATACTTAGTTTCTGCAAGCATTTATGCACCCTCGTGTTTGTACTGGCATCGAGGCGAATTTGTTTTGTTTTACGTTGTGCTCATCCGTGCTGCCGATATTTGAATTCTTGTATCTAACATTCGTCAAATCAAAAATATTTCTTCTGATGATCGGCACGCAGCAGAGGTTCTCTTCCTTGCCTTCACTCCTGCCGGTTGCTCCAGCCGCGGAAAGCTGCTCTTTGCTTCTGTTGCAGCATTGTTACATAACTTTATTCAACTGTCAGCTGTCATGAATAGATGTGCCCCCTGCAACGAGTGTGATCGGAATTCCAAGCAGGTAGCGGTTTTTTGACATAGGTCTAATTCAGCTGCTATCTGGAGGAGAATTCTAGAGGCCGGCTGCTCTGATCTGTAGTTTTCCTTGGTTTCTCTGAGGAATACCGTGCAGAACATTAGCAATCAGGTTGCGGATCACGCGCGATCTTTCCTTCCTTAGCTTTGCCCCACCTCTCCCCTTACACACACGTTTACGCTTTCATGCATTAGACTACAACTTGGGTGACCACTCAGTAAAATCTGTTCCGGCTGGGCCGGAGCTCTGCTTTGGGAGATCCCTCTCTGGCAGTTATCTCCCTGTAGAAACGCAGTTGCCGAATCCCCAACCCCCCCACACCGAACGAAACAGAACGCAACTTCACGAACCGAACCAGCAAGCTGGCGTGAAGGACGGCGCTGGATTTCACGTTGTAACGTGTGAGGAACTTCGCCTCCTCCCGCAATATAACATGCCCTAGATCTAAGAAGCTAGTGACGTGAACGGCAACACAAAATAATCAATCAAACCGTGGCAAGGCAATGTCAAGGTTTGAGAAGCACAGCAGCGCGGCGCCGTTCACCTGTAGGCGAGCGTAGAGGGCGAGCAGCTGTGCAGCAGGGTAAAATTTAATATTTTTGGAAGCTACACGAAGGCGCTTAATATCTACACAGTCGATGATTCGAGCCCGCAAATCTATTTATGTTCTGTCACTCCATCATCGCTGGTTCGAAATAGGAAAGGAAGAATTGGAAAAGCATACCAGGAGACGGAGCCCGCAGGCCAACATGTAGGACGGTGTCGGATCTCACGACCCAGTGGGGGAGGAATACCCCCACCGCTCGCGATGTAACATGCACTACCCCTTTGGGACTAATGACCGTAGCAGTTGTCACACCCCGAAACAATCAATCATTCACTCAATCAATCAACCGTAGGCGTTTCTCGGTTTGAGAAGCCCTGCGAGAGCGAGAGCGCCACTCACCTGTAGGCAGGGGGCAAGCAGCTGTGCAGCTGTCGGTGCTGCTGTTGCTGGCGTCGCGCCGCCTGCTGCGCGGAGCCCTGCTGCACGCATTCCACGGGCTGAAAGCGGTGCACGGGCGTCACCATGGGCTTGTCCCGCGAGCGCCGGCGCCGCCGCTGCTGCCCGCAGCCCGCAGACAAGGACGCTGGCACGCGGTGGCGCCCGCTGAAACCGCACGTCTGGCTGCGCTTGTCGATCCAGAAATGCATGGAGGCTCGGCCGGAGGCGGGGGCGAGCGCGCGGGAGGCACGGCGGCCGGACGCGTCGGCAGAGGCGTCGGCGGGGGCGGGGGCGGGCGCCCGGTGCGCGCAGGCGGCGCAGCCTCACGGGGCTCGTCGCGCCCCGCCACGCAGCGCCAGGCTGCGCCGCGCGCTCCTCTCCCGCTCGCGACGCCTGCAACACAGGGGGGTTCTCGTATGAGCACACTTAGCATGTGCTTAGGGCCCCTGTGGGATATGGGGCCCCAATAAACGTTTAACAAAATTTTATATTCACTTATGTGATCTCAAGTCAAACTATACGAAATTGAAATGTTTTGCAATATCTATTATTAGGACACAAGTGTTTTAACAATTCATTGTCTCCTGAAATTGTTCTTGTTAATATTTTAACTTAAACAACAATAACAATTTCAGTAGACTATGGACCAACAATGACAAGTCTGAAATTGTTATTACACTTATTGCGAAACATTTCAATTTCGTATAGTATTATATATAATAATTATACCTGTAGGCCAATTAGGTTTACGAAACTCTAGGTTCCCGTTTGCCCATTTGCCCTTGTCCGTCTGTTCTGCCTGCCTGTCTGCCTGTCCGCCTGCCTGCCTGCCTGCCTGCCTGTCCGCCTGCCTGCCTGCCTGCCTGCCTGTCCGCCTGTCAGCCTTTCTGCGTATTCGGGTACTTGACTACCCGTCTGTTCGTCTATCTGCTTGTCCATTTGTCTGTCTGTCCGTCGTTCACGGTTAGATTTCTTCCGCTTTAGGGCAAATTACTCGACGCGTCTTGTTCTGCTGGTGAGGAACTGAGCAATGTCATAAATTCTCATAGCTTTTTGTTTTACCAAAACATTCATCAGTAACAACAATGATTCACTAACCAACTAAATTATAAAGTATATAAATAACATAAACAAGTAAAAATACTTCTAAATTTAGCATAATTTCAGCAATTTTTATTTGTAAGCATCAAGTCATCTAGACAGTTAGATCTTCCTCCCCCTCATAAAGAAATTCCTAGTTGCACCATCAATTGATTCCTAGGAACAATTCATTGCATATTAGACAAACATTCTATTCAATATACATTATTGGGAGTCGTACATTTTATTCGAATTGTAACAACACTTTGTGTCCCTGAATTAGCGATCACCAATTAGAAAATAGCACTCAAATAATTGTTGGTTAAATTTAGGCATGGACGGGTTGTTCATTGGATTAAAAACAAATTAATCTCCCAAATTTTTTTTTTATTTATTTTTTACCGTCGGTCTTTAGTCGTTCGGGGGGGGGGGGTGAAGTGTACATGTTATGCCACAATGGATATACAACGAATTAACGTAAGGCGAATGTGGATCTCAGGATAACCCTTTGCGGCAACCAAATGATATTGGTATCCCTAAATATGATCAGCACATCGGATTTTCAAGATTATTTCTTAGTTTTCTCATGTCAAGTATGTTCAGTTTCCGGAAGTTAAGATAAAAGAATTATTCTCACCATGCCCTCACATACTTCGATTAAAACATTAAGTCGGTAGACGTAATCACTATAGTGACGTTCTAGCTCCCGTTTGGGTGACACCGTCACCGCAAAGACGATTGAAGTTTGTTGCGCAGTAGCTTCACTTAGCAATTCTTAACGGTCCCTATTGCCACAAAGTGTGCGACTTCTTTCATAATTTACACGTTACATGAGTTATGGCCCAATATTCAGTTTCCTGCCTTTGCGATATACGGATGAAATTGCCGTGTCATTCCTCTACCTAATGCTGCTTTTAATGCAGTTCCCTTAATGAGGCCCGGTAAACACAACGCTTCCTCTTCATGAGGGTCAATGACTTTCGAATGTAGACCTTAAAGGGGTGCCTTTCAAGATCTTGTTACATTTGTAAATGACAAGAAGCCTTACAGAGAATTTTGTAAATTGTAAATCCGGGTCAAAATTAGTAATGTGTGCAGAAAATATCATTTCGGTGTGTTAAAGTAGGAGAAAACCAATCATATGAAATTAAAAGAAACTTACAACTGCATGTGAGACTGAACACGTGACAATTTCTAGAATACGAATATTCCAAGCGAACCAGAAAATATTCCAGAAATTTATGCTTTCAAGTCGCCATCGGTTTCCTGTGAGCCTGTTATAATTCAATCTGGTTAATAACGGCTGATTCTGCAACTAGGTTGTCTTGGGGAATCTAGAAACGTAGTTTGGTGGGTGCCACACGTAATTTATCAACCATACAATTAATTGTGAAGAGAGGCTTCATCTTGAGTTATTTTTAAGCAACAATAGTCATCGTGCCTCTCTTACAACCTGAAAAAATAAATTAGGGAAGACGAATGTTTTAAAAAGATTCCAAAGATTACATCTTAAGACCGGAAAAAATATATTTCTCCAAAAAGAAAAAATATAATATCTGAGAATTTAAACTTCTGAAAAAAATTAATAGATATGGATAAAATCGAAAAATGCAACGAGTAAAAACATTATTTGTTGTAATAAATCTTGGATTATTAAGTAAATGTTACAAATTAGTTTGTTGTTTTGTTCTCGATTGTCACATTAATTAAACCGAGATTGAAAAAAAAAACTTTTAAAATATTTTTTTTCTTTAATTAATTATCTTGAATATACGTAATGAATATGGCACTTTCACTGCTTAGTTTTGTAAGGTATTTTTGAAAGAACACGTATTAACTATGTTAAAATTTAACACATTCAGCAGCAACTAATATTCAGCAGTAAAAGTACATTATATTAAATAATTATAGAATTTCTTAATATTCTTCAATTTTTTCGGTATTTTTTAAGAATTAGTGTTGTGTCATGCGCATAACAACATTGCAATACGAATAAAAATAGTAATTACATTATGAACATAGCGTAACATACGTTCTCAGGGTCTAAAGAGGTGTTTCGTTCACGTTTCACGTTTTGGCAGTCCGTCTCGTAGGTATGCAATCCGCCGGACGTACCTGTATTTTTCGAAAGAGATTGCAGTTCGCCTGAGAAAAACTGAGCTATGAGTGGCGGTGAAGCTGAAATTACGAACTCAAGTTACCCATGCTAGCAGAAAATCCACTTGACTTACTCGTATTACATTTGAGTCGTCTCTTATGCGTCAACACGCATGGAAATAAGCGGTCGATATTTTTTAGCGATTAGGAGAAGTTTGCTATTTTTCCGATGATTCTTTAGTAGTCTGTCATTCGTTGTCCCCCTAGGCTCGTTATTTTACGCGTCGATATTGGGCGGATATGCAATCCGGCTTAAGCGTTTTTTCTTGTCCTCGGTGGTGCATAATTCGAAAATGAAGCGTCCTAAGACCTTACAGCCTGATTTTCGAAGCCGAATGTCCAGATAGGTTTCTCACGTCATGATATGTACAATGAGACCGTCTATTAAATTATTAAGAATTTGCCTCTTTTTTCCATTCTTACTCTGTGGTAATGGTTGAGTGTACAGTATCTTGAATTCTATTAAAACACATTTAGCTAAGTTATTTTTTACTTTCTCACGTTATAAGTAAAGAGAAAGTATTACAATGATGCGGCAAACATTTTCGACAGTAAAATCGTAGAGTGGGGCTCTGGTATAAAAATGTGGATAAACGTTTTTCCTACATGTAGCAGGTTACTTCCTATACTTTGTGTATTCAGAACCTTTGTTTTATGGGTCCTTGATATCGACAAAATCTGTCAGCAAAACTTCTGTCTCTGCCTGCCTGCTTGCCTGCCTGTCTGTGTGTTATCTGAACGGGCTCCAGATCCAGAGAGTTTGAAACCCAAATTTTGAGTTTTGGGGGGTACTTTACACGAAACTTTAACATTTTCAATTTTTTTAAAAAGTGACTACATTTTTTATTAAACTTTGTCCTTGGTACGCTTAAAAACTGGTGCCGTCCTCATTTTCGCTGAACTCTGTGAATTAACGAAAATTACAAAAGTTCAAAACAATGCGAGAAAGTTGGTGCTATTGAAGCCCCTCTAGTTTTTTCGTGCGTGCGTGGAGGGAAGGAGGTGTACTACATTTGAGAGTTCTTGCTCAGGTACGATTGGTTTCTCCATGCCGTGTCTTTTATTGACATTTGCACGTTTAGTACGTTATGAAAACATCGTTTATTATTACAATTAAATAGAAATAACTGCATACGTTTTTTTCAAAAGTGATACGTTTTATTGAAAGTTCCTAAAGAGGCATTTTATGTTATCAATTGTGACCCAAATTAATGAAGAAAAAATATGAAACAGGTATAAATTGATTTATTAGCATACAGTCTTTAAAAACTCATTAAGGGAGTTAATGATGTGCCCCAGCACAATTTTTTCCTCTATCTTTGTTTAGGTAAGCGGTTACAGTTTCATTGCTTAGAAATTTCATTATTAGAAACTTTCTTAAGTGATAGTTTCATCTTTCAACCCTTATCGGATGTTTGCAAAACAATTGGAAATCGTCGCCGAGCGTAATCGCTTCATGGAAAACCCCGGTGTTCCCTTTCATCCAGACCTGCGCATAAACGCATTGCAATATTATTTCAGTATTTGTGGACGTAGAGAACAACTGTGCTTTCGGATCATCGTAATGAATGTTGAACAAGTTATTCCAAAAATGGATGTGTCTATCTGTGAAGTGTGAGGAAAGAAAATGATTGTAATAAACTGCTTAATACACGTAGCATTAGGTCTTAAATATTTAAATTTTTCCTCAAATTATTTTGTAACTTGAGACCATCGTCTCCCCGCCGTCCTCCCCGCCAATGCTATTATTTGGGCACCAGAATGGGATTGGCATGCGACAGGTAGGCATTATTATTCTTTAAGAATATGGCCACTACACGATATGATAGATAACAATAATTGAAATATCAAGAAAAAAAGGTTTTTTGAAGAATAATGCAACTAATGTCAAATTTAGTGACTCGAAAAAATAGTAATATTTTGGGGCATTTAACAAGTTTTCCAATTCAACGATCTTAAAACAAAAAGTAATGCTAAACATTGTTTAATATTGGTCGCTTTGCCAATGCAAAATGAGGATTTATCTCCATTATGAACCGAAAGATTCTCAAATCGCAAACATTAATGTTTTTAGAAAATCTATATAGTCCTTCAGAAATAAGATAAGACATGTTTACACAAAGGATTTTCAATTTTTAACTTATTGTTCCATCTCTGCTTAGTTGAAGAGTAAGACGGATGGTTGAAGAGAATATAAAATTGAATGAATTGAATTGAATGGCATTTTCTAGCTAAATCATTTTAACATCATTTAAGCTAATTTGAAAGAGCTTTCTGAAAGAACATCAAGTACAATTTATTCTCTTTATATGACTTTATCTATTGATTACAGTCTCTACAATTCAATGCCTATAAATAAAATACATTTTTGACAACAGGGATATCATGTAGATCTTGAGCAATGTTTGACCCCTATCAGCATAAGCTTGACTTTCCAGCAATGAGTATTTTGCCAATAAAATTATAAATTTCAGGGCAAACGTTTATATATTCACAAACTAAACGGAGTCGCTTAATATTTACATAGTCTATCATTAAAGCACGCCGCTTATGAATTCCTTTATGTCTGATCAATCAGTCATTAAAGTACTTTTGAAGGGGCGAATCGAAATTCGATTGGAAAACAGGTAAAAATGACACGTTTTGTAATGTATGTAAAAAAATATTATAAGTAACTGTCACACAAGCTCAAATGTGTCATGTGCGTTATGTAATGATTCAATGGTTTTGCGGAGATTATCCTCACAGTGTCAAATATTAATAGTGATGATTTAAATGAGACAATTTAGTTTTTTAGTTTAGTGGACAAGATTTTCAGCCTGGTTCTTTTCGTGACGACTATTCTCTTAAGATAAGCCAAGTATTTATGTGCCACATGCATATTCAACTTACAACTTTTTAAATTTCGCAGTTGAAAATGACTATATGTCAAAGCACGATTATGTACGCTAGACAATTACATCGAAATTAAACCTAAATGTCAGCAGGCAATTACAGAATTCAAAAAAAATTATGTTCACTCAACGTGAACGTCTTTGTGGGTCACTGGCGTATATGTTAACTAATATTAATGGGGTTCTTTTCTTTTAATCTTGTGAGACGAACTTAATGACTACCTGCGTGCCGTAGTTTCACCATCTCTGCTGCTTTGCGATTTATCGTGCGATACCTGGAGGAGATCCACAGCTCTAGAGTAGAACACGCCCTTGAATCCGAGGAGGAGGGGGCACAGAGACTGGGCGTCCGCAAGCCTCAACAGGTGGATCGTAGACAAACCACGTCACACGGCCAAGAACTGGGGACTAGTGGCTACCTCTCGCAGAATCTTCAATGAAAAAACGATTCTCGCGAGAGATATCGACTGTACAGTTGCGTCGTATATTTCATTGGTGTGAAGCGTTGTGGATTACACGTCGCTTCGAGATTTTTATCATCACTGGTGTTTAATTGTTCTCTCGTGATTCTATTTTAAATTACATGAATTATGACGAAAACAATAAGGAGAAAAATATACGAACACAAGAAAAATAAGAATTATACTTTTTTCCCTTTAAGAACGCAGTTTCAGAGCATTATTTCCTGATTTTACGATTAGAGAGATATTTATCATTAATGCGTTTAAAGTAAGAATTATTCATCAGTTAAGTAAGAGAAAGGGTAATCACATCCGCAAAGTAAGGGTTTATCACAAGAGAATACGATGCAATAAACAGAATCACCAGTCAGATAGAAAATGTAGACAAGATTATGACTTTATTTGAATGATCTATATTCTCATTACGAAGATTGTTCGAAGGATCATGTGAAATGCATCATAAACCATCTGTCAAAGTCACGTTATAAACAGGAAGCAACTGTATAAGTAGTGTTTTGTTACACATTCCTAGGTTTATAAACATTAAATTTTGCCTTGTTTATCCCATTAAGGGACAGACCTTGAGAGATCGTTTGATTCATGTACGTCACCAGCAACAAAGCATGGAACGTTATTTAAAGAAACGAGAAAAGTTCGCGCCATGTTCCACGGGGAAGCCCGACGCTGAGTGGGTCACTTGAGGTTCCTGGCTCCGATTCCACCTCGAGACGCTCTCCTGCGGCCGGAAAGCGCCAGCCTGGTACTCGCCTGCAGAAGCTATCCTTCGGCCGGCCGCTGGGCTGCGACGAGACGGACGGACGGAAGGCGTCGGGACAGTGCACTACTCTGCGGCAGCGGGGGCGTCGACGGATGCGACGGCGGAGGCGGCAGCGGCGGCGGTGGCGGTGGCGGCGGTGGCGGCGGCGGTGCCTCCGAGGTCATGGGTTCCTCCGGGCTTAGGAGAGCCTTCCGGGGTCGGTTCACTGGCGAGGGGTGGT